ATGGATGGATGGATGGATGGATGGATGGATGGATGGATGGATGGATGACAGATGGATGATAATGGGTGGCTATTTCCCTCCTGCAGGGATCCATGACTACCAAGCCCAGCACCACAACACACCAGGTGAGGCAATAAAAGCTGGCCTAGAAGCTGCACACAGGGACAGGGACCAGGACAAGGACAGGGACTGGCCTGTGTGTGCAGCACAGCCCTCGTGTGTGCAGTGAGGGCCCCAGGCAGTTTGGAGTATTGGGGCTGTGGCTGTCCTCAGGTTATTTGGCTCTCAGGCACAGAGGAAAGGATTCACCCCAAACCAAGACACTCCACAGGACAGCATGTGCAGCTCAGATTTTTCCCATCAATAGTCACTGAGGTACATTTGCACTTGGAAAAGCAGTTTTTTTATATTGTATAAGCTTTCACTTTTGCTGCTGGAAAGATTCCCATGTAAAGACTCCAATGAGATCTCCCTGTATCTTCATTCCAGCAATTTGCACATGTAACCAAATCCCCTGGATTAGCCAGACATTGTGGGATGTGCAGCACAATTAAAGAGCTCCCTCAGGACCTCATGGAGACCCAAGGTCTTCACAGCCCAGATCTCCAGGAGGTGGCAGAAGAGCTTTGCTGAAGATGATGCTTGGTCTTGGCTTGGAAGAAAATACAATTCAAGCCTAAGGATACCAACAAACAGACCCAGGTTTTGCTCCCTGATCCCACAGAGACTCCCACCGCTGTCAGTTGAAGTGAATCACATTTTGGAATATCAACCCAATTAACCTCAAGTTTGGGTGATAAAACAGCCCTGGACAACTGAATGAAAAAGCAAACAAGCAAAACCACCAAGGTATCTGCCTCAAGCAAACTCTGTCACTCCTTTATCCAGATCATCATTCCTAAAACCCTTAGTGCTGAAGGACACCAAAAGGACTGACAGGAGTGTTGCCTCAAACCCAAAGTATGCTCCAGGCTTTTCCCCAGACCTCAAATGGGGCATTTTAAATTCTTTGTTTCCCATCAGTGTTCATTGTCTGGTTCCCAGACTGAGCAAGGCTGTGCTGCCTGGGGTAGACATGGGCTCTGAGTTAACCTGGCAGAGCAAAGCTGAGACCATCAGACATCCTGTCCAGACCTGGCTTAACAGCCAAATTTACTTCAGCCCAATGCCAAACCTCCATATTCCACAGAGCCCAAACCCACCCAAGGGGTACCAGAGAATGGACCATTCCTTAGGTCTTCTCCATATTCCCCCTTCCTTAAGCAGCTCTGAGCCATGCAGGGCAAGGAGCTTCAGGCCCCAAAGTCCCCTTTGGCGCACAAAGAAACTTAATTTTTCTCTGAAATATCTTTTTGCCCAGTTTTTATTGAGCAATTCCTGTTGAACTGCTCAAGTGCAGCTTTGATAAAAGCAAGAGGGCAGAGTGGTGTCTCCTCCACTTGCTTCCCAAAGAATGGGATCCAGCTGTGCTTCTCCCTCCTCCCAGTGAGTCCCAGTCCCTGTTTAAATGGGAAAGATCCATATAATGCCACGGGATGCCCAAATGGGATCCCTGTGGTGGGATCTTCCCTTTCTCTCTGATGCTGGACAAGCCCAGAGGTCTGTGGGGCAGAGGGTTTGGGATCAATAATGTAGAGCAGAGCGAGTTCCTTGGTCACTTCACCTATGATGCCAATTTTAGCTCATTTGGAAGCTTTTTCATTGAGTGCCCAACACTGAGACTCGTGGGAAGATTTCAATTCCAAAAGGATTAAAAGCAACATATAAATAATGGTCTGCTCTTGAGTGTTTAGGAGGTAAAAAAAATAAGGCTAATTAAGCCTATTTGCAGTATTATGTCTGTCATAAACACTTTAATTCAGTTCAAGTCAGCTTGAGCCAGAAAGGGGATAAAAAGGAATAAACCCTTTAAAAGACCTGTATCTGGGGAAAGGGAAGGTCTTGGTGGCCCCTGAACAGCCAGATCTGCTCTGAGACAGTTCTGTTCCAGCACCTGAGGGAGCAGAAATGAGAGTTGTAAAAAATAAAGGGGCAAACAATTCAAGGTGTGAGCACACACTCCTCCCTGAGAAGGGGCTGTTCAAATGGGTGTGAATGAAGAGCTGAGTCCAGCAGATCCACACTCCAGAGCTGGAGCACACAGCTGGCAGCTCACCACCTCCCAGGAGAACCCAATCCCGTGGAAAGCTCACCCAGCTCAGCCTATGGATGAGCCCATCTGGACAACCCAAACCAACATCTTCACCTTGCCAGTGAATCTGGACCTGAGCTCAAGGATTTCCACATTCCTTGCAGCACCACTCTGGCTGGTTTATCCCCATTGCCAAGGCTGAGCACACACAGCAGCTTTGCTATCTCAGGGACAGTCCAGAGCTGCTCACAGTAGGAACACTCTGCTGCTGCTGCAGGATTAGCCAGGAAAACCCCTGGAGTAGGAAAATGCACTGTCACAGAGCTGATCACCCAGAGAGGTTGTGCCACACACACTTACCTTTACCTGGGGGCTGGATCAGGGGATGCCTCATTGCCATTCCCAAAACTGCTCTGTAAACCACAGCCAAAGAGACTAAATAGGCTGTTTCTATTGTGTTCAACTTAAAGTCAACTGGGAAAACATGGCTTAAAGTCTGAATAGACTGTAACAGACTGTGCTCTCTCCCCCAGGTCACCTTCTGCTGTGTCACACGCAGTGTGTGGATAGATCCAACTTCTCAGGGCAGGGATTGTCATCTCATGACTTGCAAATTCTTCAGATGCCCCAATTCCCGTGGTTCCTAATTCCCTTTCAGAACTTTTACCCATCATTAGCACAGGGCAGGGCTGTGGGATGTGACACACCTTGGGCACCAGGCAGAGAGTGGTGAGCACAAGACAAGAAGGTGATTGATTGATTGATTGATTGACTGGGGGAGAGGGGAAAGAGAGATGTGTAATTGGCACCACTACCCTGGATCCACCACCACAAAATACCCCCTGTGAGGCTGCAGAGGGGGAACTTCACAGCCCTCCTGTGGCACATTCACTCCCACAGAGGCAGTTCCCGGCTCCTGTGTACAGCAAAGTCAAAATGTGGTTAAAATGCCCTTGGAGTCAAATGTCCAAACTACAGACCTGAAAGATGATGGACATGAGCTCCATTTGTTTGTAAACTGGTACTTCTGAGGCACAACTCTTGCATCAAAATGAGGTTGTTCAGCAGTGTGTCTTTGAGTTCACAGCAGAAAGGATCCAACCAGCTCCCGGGAACAGCACTGGGAATCCCCCGCTGCCAGAGTCTTTTTGCCTTGGTGCAGGAACACGGCTGTCTCTGCTACATCAGGATCCAGTCTCTGGTTTTACTGCCTCCTCAGTCCCTTAATTCTCTCCTCTCCAGGAACCAGGGCACAAGCCCTCAGTATCTCAACATCACCACCCCAAAATTAGTGCACCTGAGGGATGGAGGAGGAGAATATTCCTGAAGAGTAAAAATTTTAACTCAAGAGAGATATATGTCACTGTTTTAGTGTTTCTGCTGTCCCACATCCCCCCCTCTCCATTCCTCCTTCCTGATCTGACACCTGACAAAACCTCTGGTTTCCCCCGCTCCTGCAGGGGCTCTCCCCGGGCTGCAGGATGCCAACGCTGAGGACAAAGGAGCACTGCACATTTTTGGTGCTGGCCTTTGCCCTCACCCCGCAGCAGAGAATGGTGTCTCTGTCTCCTGGCAGCTCCCCTGGCCTCGTCCTGCCCCTACTGTTTGCAGCTGTACACCACCTCCTCCTGCATGCACTGCTGGCACTCCACGTAGCAGCACCACTGCACCTGGCAGTGGCAGGAGAAGGTGACCAGCCTGCTCTGGGTGTTGTAGCCTCTCCCGCAGCACATGCTGTCGCAGTTGCCCTCCCTGGAGCAGGTCCTCCCCGCGGTGCCCAGCGAGTATTTGCTGGGGCGGCAGAAACTGGGCGAGTCCTCCACGTACACGAGGTCGGTGGCGCGGGGGGCCGGGGGCAGCCGGGGGGAGTGGCCGTGCCGGGGGGGCCCTGCCAGCTCCGAGTGCCCCACGGCGTCGTTGGTGGTGCTGAACACCTTGACGGCGTCGTCGTAGCGAAGCTTCAGCAGCCGCCCGATCTCGTGGAAGGGCGAGAGCTGCTTCCAGCACGTCCGCACGGCGCAGGAGCCCGACACGCCGTGGCACTTGCACGTGGTCTTCAGGCCATTCTTCACTGCCTGAGGAGGAGAATCATAGAGTCATAGAGTCATAGAGTCAGTCGGGTTGGAAAGGACCTCTGAGATCATCAAGTCCAACCCTTGATCCACCGCTGCCGTGGTTCCCAGCCCATGGCACTGATGCCACATCCAGTCTCATCTTAAAAACCTCCAGGGACGGAGAATCCACCACTTCCCTGGGCAGCCCATTCCAATGGCTGAGCACTCTCTCTGTAAAGAATTTCTTCCTAATATCCAACCTAAACCTCCCCTGGCACAGCTTAAGACCCAGCCCTCTTGTCCTACTGCTGGTTCCTGGGAGAAGAGACCAACCCCCACCTGGCTACAACCTCCTGTCAGGGAGTTGTAGAGAGTGAGGAGGTCTCCCTTGAGCCTCCTCTTCTCCAGCCTCAACAACCCCAGCTCCCTCAGCCTCTCCTCACACCATTTGTGCTCCAGTCCCTTCCCCAGCCTCGTTGCTCTTCTCTGCACCTGCTCCAGCACCTCAATGTCCTTCCTGAACTGAGGGGCCCAGAATGGGATGCAGTACTCAAGGTGTGGCCTCACCAGTGCTGAGTCCAGGGCAAGAATCACTTCCCTGCTCCTGCTGCCACACTGTTCCTGATCCAGGCCAGGATCCATTGGCCTTCTTGCCCACCTGGGCACACTCTGCCTCCTGTTCAGCTTCCTGTCAATCCACACTCCCAGCTCCCTTCCTGCCTGGCTGCTCTCCAGCCACTCTGGCCCAGCCCGTGGGGCTGCAGGGGGTTGTTGTGGCCAAAGTGCAGGACCCGGCATTTGGCCTTGTTGAACCTCATCCCATTGGAATCAGCCCAACTCTCCAGTCTGTCCAGGTCCCTCTGCAGAGCCCTCCTGCCTTCCAGCACATCAACACCCCCCCAGCTTGGTGTCATCTGCAAATTTGTCAATGATACACTCGATCCCCTCATCCAGATCATCAATAAAGATGTTAAACAGAACTGGGCCCAACACTGATCCCTGGGGACACCCCCAGTGACCGGCTCCCCAGTGGATGCAGCTCCATCCCCACCACTCTGGGCCCGGTCATCAGCCAGTTCCTAACCCAGCACAGAGTGCCCCTGTCCAAGCTGTGGCTGCAGCTTTTCCAGGAGTGTGCCATGGGAGATGGTGAAGTGGTGGACTTTATCTGAGCCTAGTTCTGGGCAGAGGCAGAACCTCAGAGCACAGACAGCCTGCAAGGACTTCAGTTTTATTGGTATTATTTCTATTTTGTGAGGGAAAAAGTAATGGTAGTTTAAAAAAAACAGAAGCAGAGGGATGGCTACAGAGTTCACTGGTGAGCCAGAGAGTGGAAAGCCCGAATGAGAACAAACAGCTGAATACCAAATAAGTTCTTGCTAAGCCTATTTGGCCCAGTAGAAGTAAAAAAAAAAAAAATCCAAAATAGTATCTCCAGCATGGTATATTCAAATGAAGACAGTGCTCTGATTGAACAATGAACTGGACTCAGGAAATGGGAAACAGTGATAAGCCAGTAGCCTGTAGAGGCCAAATATGGAGGCCAATAATGCCAACAGAGGCCAAAATCCTCAATGTAATGGTCTCCCTGACCCAAACCTGTGACATGACGAGTTCCACAGCAAGTCACCAGCAGACTCATAAGTGACCTCTAGAGTGTCAGCCCTTACTCTGCCTTACACATCCCACCAGCTCTGAAGCTCTAGCTATTCACAGAGCTCCCTGTGGCTGTGGCACAGCCCATGGAGTCACTCAGCCACTGAATGTTACAGCTGTTCCTGGGCTGTGTGTTGCTGCCACGCAGCCCTTGGTACCACTAGAGGATACTCCTCTGCCTGTCAACATGCAGCTCCTCATACCAGAGTTCAGGAGACTTTCCAGGGAGTTCTCAGTGCCAGGACACACAGACAAACAGGTGTTGTTTGTGAGCAGGGGCAGGGAATACCCCCCTCACAAACAGCCTCAGCTGGGGATGGGTTAGAAGACTTGCACCATGGGTCGCTCCCATCCTGGCAGCGCGGGTCCTCACCTTGATGCCCACGTTGGTGTTGTGGATGTCCACCTTGGCCCGCAGGTCTTTGCCGATCCTCTTCTGCCCCAGGAACTTCTTGAGGAACTTGGTGCTGTACTTGAGGTTGTCCCCGCAGACCCCCCACTGCCAGGCCTTGCGGTTCTCCAGCCCCGGGGAGTCGTCGCAGGTGCAGCGCTCCATGCGCCCGGCGCTGCAGGCCCGCGCCAGCGAGTGCGTCAGGGCCGCCGAGGACACGGCGTACAGGAAGGCCGTCTCCTTGAAACCTGCATTGGGACAGGGCAGGGGCAGGGTGAGGTGTTCAGCCGCCCCCACTGGCTCTCCTGACTGCCCATGGACTAAAACAAAGCACGACAACTATAAACACAAAGAGACAAAATGTCGCAGGGTATCTTGTCGTGAGGCCTTGGTCCAGTGGGGGAAGAAAGACACACAAGACACACAAGGATGGTGAGACAAAGAGATGTCTGCCTGCTCAGCGCAGCAGGCAGCCTTTACTGAGCTTGCCAACTTCACACACAACACAAACATATTCCTACAACAACACCCAGGAATCCAAGCACCTGCACATTATCAAACCGTCTTAACCTTGTACTCCCTGCAACCCAAGGCCGTGTCCATGGAAACCATCTAACCAGCTCCACTGCTCCCATGGAACATGGCCTAACTTTTGCACTACCTCAAACTTTAATTGTGGGGCTACAACTTCACCCCACAACAAAACCCAGAGAGTGCGTGAGTGCCGCCGAGGACACGGCGTACGGGAAAGCCATCTCCTTAAAACCTGCACGGGACAAAAAACTGCTTAGCTGTGCTGCTTAGGTGAGCAAAATGGGTAATCTGGGTGTGGAAGTTAAAAGCTTTACATCTTTCAAAAACAAGAACAAATCTAAAAAGAAAAACCCCACCAAGCCCACACCAGGTGCTGTTCTTGCTTGTTGTTTCCTGTGTGCTGATTGAACTAATGGCTAGTCTGGATTTCTTCTGCAACCTTGAACTTCTAGAGGATAAAAATAGCCTAGAAAAGAGAAGACTAAGGGGAGACCTCATCAGTGTCTTCAACATTCTCATGAGGGGAAGCAGAGGGGCAGGTACCTATCCCTTTGTTCCTGTGACCAGTGACAGGACTCGAGGAAACAGCATGAAGCTGAGATGGGGGAGGTTTAGGTTGGATATTAGGAAATAGTTCTTCACCCAGAGAGTGGCTGGGCACTGAACAGGCTCTCCAGGGAACTGGTCACAGCACCAAGCCTGACAGAGTTCAAGAAGTGTTTGGACAATGCTCTCAGGCACGTGATGTGACTCTTGGAGTGTCCAGGAGTTGGACTCAATGATCCTGATGGGTCCCTTCCAACTCAGCATGTTCTGTGATTCTGTGATTCTGTGACTGGGACAGGGTAGGAGCAGGGCAAGGTGTTCAGCCATCTCTGCTGGCTCTCCTGACTGTCCGTGGACTAAAACAAAGCATGACACAAAGAGACAAAACCCAGCAAGGGACACAGAGAGGACGGGGCAGAGGGGAAGGCAGTCTCCTTAAAACCTTCGTGGGACAAGGATTAGGAGACGGCAAGAGCAAGAAAGGCAAAGTAATAAAAAGGTTGAAGACTCCCTCACTGGCTCTCCTGACTCCTCATGACTAAAGCCAAGCACAATAATCATAGATACAAAGGCGTGTGTGAGGGACATGGGACATGGCAGATGGGAAGGCAGTCTCCTTAAAACCTGCACACGAGAAGGACGGGGAGAGGGCAGAAGCAGAAAAGGCAAAATGTGGTGTTCAGCCACCTCACTGGTTCTCCTGACTTTGCATGGACTAAAAAACTAAGCACAATAATTACATTAATTATAAATACAAAGAGATTAAACTCTTTACTTGCACACCAATCTATCAGAGAAGCTCCACATCGTGTTTGAAGTAACTGGTGTAGTGACACCCCAGCCTCACCCCGTGGCTGTGACTGGTTCAATACAACTTCTCTGTGAGGGGCAGAGGAGGGGCAGGCCCTGAGCTCTGCTCTGTGTGACCAGGGACAGGACCCAGGGAATGGCCTGGAACTGTGTCAGGGCAGGGTCAGGTTGGATTTTAGAAAAAGGTTCTTTCTCCAGAGGGTGGTTGGGCACTGACCAGGCCCCTCAGGGCAGTGGTCATGGTCCCAGGGCTGCCAGAGCTCCAGGAGGGTTTGGATGACACTCTCAGGCACAGGGTGTCACTCCTGGGGATGGGCCTGTGCAGGGCCAGGAGCTGGACCCGATGATCCCTGTGGGTCCCTTCCAACTCAGCCTATTCTGTGACTCTGTGACATGGACAGGAGACCACTCATGGATCAAGGGAGGGATGGGAAAACATCCAACTGCAAAAAGCGACAGCCGTGAAACTCCGTTTGTGCTCACCCTCCCCACGGGCTGATGGGTGTGAATAGAGACTGGCACCGAAATCATGGGGGGGCCTAAAATCAGCAAATATGGAGTAGAGACTAGGAAAATATTTTGAAAATCTGACCTGTTACTCAAACATGTTTGTAATTGGGACTGTCATGGTGTTTCCCATGGAAAGATCCCGTGTGGTTTGGCTGGGAAGGGTCGCATGTTGAAGGACATCTTGGCAAGAAGGACAACTCTGCCACATGTGAGTGGGGTTTCTGAATTCCCTGTAAATGATCCACTCCCAATGACTGTAGGGTTGTGTTCTGAAGCTGTTCTCCTCCCAGAGGAGGCTTCTCAGGATTGGTTACAATCCCTGAGGTCGCGGTGTGACCATGACACACCAGGACATTTTAACCAGGAAACAAAGTTCCGGGACTGCATGAAAATTCAGCCTGGAGATGTGAGATCAGACAGGAATGGGAATGTTGATATGACACCCATGAGCTCCACAGAAGTTCCAGAAACTCTGATTGACACAAACCCAACCTAAATCCCAAAATAGTTTATTTACTTATTTATATTTACCTCTTTGTCTATTCAATCCTGGGGATAATCTTAATATTCTTTCAACAGTTCATTTGTAGAAAAGAAAACTATTAATGAGAAATTGTTTAACAAGTCCACAGTTCAGGAATTAGTGCAAGGAAGAGAGACGGGTGACTGATCAACAGCTCTGAGTGCAGGAATGGGTAAGATTAGCAAAAATAGAAAAAAATTGGTTTATGAAAAATAGAGCGCTGGTACATTGCAAGGAGGAAAACACATTGAAGCAAACAAATATTCCACATGAGAAAATTCCAAATTTCCTTCCACATCAGAAGGAAAATCTGTTTCCTCCAATAATGGAAGAGAGAGAGACAACCACGGAGACCTGATCTAGATTTACAGTTACCTGCTTGGAGCAGAGGTTGGAATTCACCTCTAGAATTCATCAAGTCCAACCTCAGATCTTTCCATTATTCTGTTCCCTCAAAGAATTCCCATCAAGCTGTAATAAGAGATCAGGCCACTGACTGCTGAGATCTGAGTAACACCACCACAAACGTGACCCGAGAACAGGACACGGAGCTCTCCTGAGAGTTGTCAGCCAGAAGAATGAGAAGTGTGACTGACCATGAGCACAGTGGAGAGGCTGCATTACCAACTTCAATAAACACTCCATAGGAGCTCTTTGGAATTGCAGAATTGCAGATAAAGATCCAGCAACAGTATGGACATGAGGGGAGAGTCAAAATATGGAGGAGATTAAGGAGATCAACCAACAAACTCCTTCCTGCCTCACCATCTTGGTCGCTGTAAGCACTGGGACAATAATTTGCGATTAGTCTCTCTGGTTGATGATGCTCTATAAAATTTCTCAGAGTACTGGAAAAACAATGAAAGGATGTCACCAAATCCATCAAAAGTTTTAGAAAAGCTGGTGTGGGATGCAGCCAGTACAGACTATGGACAGCAACATGGTGCTCACACATTTTCAACAGTGGCCAACCCACTCTAAAGAAGGAGTTAAGAGAGGGTGAAATATATTTGAGATCCTAAACCTGTTAAATCATTCCAGAAGCCAATCTCCAAATGTTTACCAGATTCCCAGTTTTCTCTCTGACACACTGATCCCAGAAGCAAGGAGAACTTTCCAGAAAGCCTTTCCTATCCCGTGTGAAGGCAGCAGTCCCCAGCAGCTCCTCAGCCCCTGCTAAATCTGGCTCTGTGGAACACCACACTGCTCCTGCTATTTCTGACCAGCAATGCTTTGGTTATCCTGTGGCACTCCATGGAAGTGCTGGCCAGCTCTCAGCCCACTGGAAATCAGAGACCATGGCTTGTGGTCAGGCCACTGCAGACAGCAAGGACTGCACATACCGAGCAGGCTTTCAAATCATCTACTTCTCCACCCCTCCCACCTCCTCCTAAGGCAGAGCTTCAACATCTCCAGGCTGCCAAATGCTTGTCCAAAAAGTCTGAGATGATTCCTTGTTCTTTGTCCTAAGGGATCGATCACCATTTAATGGTTAATTTACAAATCACGCGAGGAAAGGGAGAACTGAAAGGTCCTTCAGCCCCTGTGGAATAACAACGTGCAACAGAGCAGCAGCTGGATTTTCAGTAGGACACACCACAAATGGGCAGCAATCAGCTCCAATGAGCATGATTTAAGATCTGAGAGAGATTTCCCCATGTGTCCTGGTATCCCTCCTCCCACTGTGCCAAAGCAGCCTCTGTCACCAGAGCCAGCGGAGCCTGGAGCCGATGCCGGGCTGGCAGGACCCGCTTTGGGGATGAGTCACTCCCCTGACCCCACTGACTGCAACCAAATGGAATCTGAAACACTTGGGGCAAGGGGGAACATCTCCATGAGATGTGTTTGCTGGGCAGTTTGGTTGCAAACATCCAGCACAGAAGGAATTTCAAGATGCTGCAGCAAACCAGCCCCCTCGGTAGGACCTTGCAGGGGTCCAAGTCCTCCCCTGAGCTCTCTGGGAGGATTTCTGAGCTCAGCAGCCCATAAATACAGAGAGATGTTTGCTGCAATGGCACCACTGTTCTGAGTGTGGTGTGCTCCAGACCACAAGGAAAACTATAACAAGAGGAGTTCAGCCATGGGCTGGTTCTGCCAAAGGAAAGATGTTCATGGGCAATGATTTTTCAGTGCTGCAGTGAAGGTAAGTGAGTGTTTCAGAGCAAGTGGAGGAGGGAAAACAATCACATCAACAAACCAACCAACCAAACAAAAAAGAACTGTAGAAAGATTTAGGATGGAAGGATTCTCAAGGTCTTTAGCACAACCTCCTGCTCAAAACAGGGCTAACTCAGTGCCAGCTGCTCAGGTCTTCTCCAGCTGAGTTCTCAAAATCTCCCATGGTGGAAATTCCACATCTCTGAGCTACCACTCCACTGCTGTACCATTCCTAGATTCCTCATGACATCAATGAAACCACTGCCTGAAGGTCAAAGAATCCATCATGAGGCCAAGAAATGGATTGATGGATGGAAGGATTCCAGAGTGCTCATTTCCCAAGAAGGATTTTTTTGTGTGCCTGCATTTGAGCTCTTTGCTCAAATTTTATTTCTCTTCCCTGAATCACCATCTTGTTTGAGATGAAATTCTGTTTACCTGACCTCCAGCAACGTTTATGGCACTCCTGGGACACCAAATGACCATCAGTGCTTTACAAAGACACCAACTGCCACCATGCAACAGGACAGCTTGAAATGTCTCTCCAGAATCATTTTAAATCTAACTCTTACCATGGATTTTTAAGGAAGTGGAGAAGGAATGCAGAAGGATTTTGCATGGATCAGGGAAGAGTAATAGCTGTCTTAAGTGACAATGGTCACAGAGGAGTGGTAGGTTATGCAAAAGGAGTTTCCCAGTTGTATCCAGAGAAGTATCCAGAACAACAAATGGTGCAGACTGTGATTATAAATCTGGCATTTCAAGGACCAGAAAGCCCTTGGTCTTTTTGGTTTTTTCCCCATCTCTAGAAGCAGAAAAAACATTGATGATCCAAATCAGTCATAGCAGTTTGGGACTGCCAACTGAGTGTGGCTTTTCACCCCTCACAGCTCACTGGGACATGACCTTCTTCACTCTCTTGCACTTGTGAGACCTTTAAAGACTGTTCAAAGTGTGTATTTTTCTTTATGGCTTCTCTGGGACCATGGAGATATCAAATGATTTGATCATTCCTAAAACTCTTCAGCGAAAGGAGAGGAGTCCATTGTCTGACCAACAATTCCCAAGAGATTTCCAAGAAATGTGAGAAACAGACCAGAAGTGGCAGCTGAGAGTGTTCATGTTCTTTGTGAAGGAACCAAACTCCTTTGGAAGCTGAAGGAAAATGAGAACCAACAACTGCTCCCAACCAACTGTCCCCTCACCCAGGAAGGGCACCCAGCACACTTTGCTGTATTGAATCATCATTTGAGCCTTAAGATTGTGTAATAAAAGTTTTCAAACACTTCTCCTCATCTGCCGAAACAGGTTTTAAATTACGGGTGATATTTTATTTTGTCAGTCAGGAGTCCCTGGAAATGTTAAGGCTTGTCACCGCCAGATAATGAAATGTTTTGCAGCTACTTGAAGAGGAGGATTATTCAATTGTCATTTTCAAGTTCTTTGAGGTTGATGAAGGTGCAGGTGTCAAAAAAACACTCAAAATAATCACGAACAGCTTCTTCAAATAAAGAAATTTGCTTTTGTGTGCTAAAAAAAATCACAACAGAGTCTTGCAATGAGGTAAATCTGACCCTGTATGTGCTGGTTTAATAAAATATTAACTTCATATTTAATATAATAAAAATTGATAATTTTAAATGAAAATGTTAAAAATTTTCAATCCAAATGTTAATTAAAATTTGCATTTATTTTCATCAAATTTAATTTTGGCTTGTCTGGGCTCTTTTTAAAAAAACATTAAGTTGGTAAACATTATTAAAGGACTGAAACTCAGTAATTCTGAAGAATGAAGTTTAGTAAATGCCACTAAAAGTTATTGAAGGGCTGAAAGTCGGTAACACATAATGAGGCTTTGTTTGGATCAGGACAGGTTTAGCAAAGACACTTTTACTAAGAAATGGTTTCAGTGTCTGTCTTAATTCTATTTTTCTCAAGTTCTTATAATTTGAAGGATTTGTTATGCTCCCTCCTACCTCAAATAGAGAATTTAAGGGACATTTTCTTCCTCTAAAGCATTTTGGGGAACAGAAGCCAATGGCTCTTCTGTCCATTCTGAAATTCTACAAAAGCTCCAAATTTATGGGAAGGAGTCTTAGGAAAGATTTGACAACTTGCACTGAAATGCAGGTATAAACAGTCATGCTGACAAACAGAAAATAGGTATAAATTTTGTATCTGAGAATAACAAATATAAATATCCGAAGACCTAAAAAGAGTTTTTTCTTAAAACAGCCCTTGACATCAAGCCCTGCCCCTTTTTCCCACAGTATCACCCTGATTCCCAGCTGAGGAGAATGCTCAGCCAAGGGAACTCTGGACAAAAATCCACAAGCCAAGGGTGACAACTTCCTTCAACTCTCCAATGCGTGACAAACCATGCAGGAAACACGAGGACAAAGCTTATTTTGCTGCAAAGGGGCCCAACGCGCCCGTTCCTGGGTGAAATGGATGATCTGGGCACTCTGGGCACTCCCCGGTGCCAATCAAACCCCCTTGGCTTGGTTTGAGATGGACATTCCAGGGGCTGCAGCCCCGGGAGTTTCCCCATCAACCAACTACCTTGTACCTCTCTTGAGCAGGCTGGTCCTCCCCTCCAGGCTGCAGTTCCAGCGCTCGCTGCGGAACTGGAACTGGCACTCCATGATCCCCAGGCGGATGGAATCCCGCAGGGTCTCGGCCAGGCCCGGCTCCCGCCGGCACAGCCGCTTCTGCTTGCGGGACAGCTGGAGCAGGTCACACTGCTTGACGTGCACCCTGCCCTGGGCAGAGCCTGGCGACGGCCCCAGCGACGGGAAGTGGGTCAGGGCTTCCTTCCCGGTCAGGCTGAAAGGAAGCAGGAAAAGCAGAGGTTATGGATCCTTCGTGGTCACAGCACCGAGCCTGACAGAGCTCGGGGAGTGTTTGGGCAACGCTCTCAGACACGGGGTGTGACTCTTGGGGATGGGCCTGTGCAGGGCCAGGAGTTGGGCTGGATGATCCTTGTGGGTGCCTTCCCACTTGGCATATTCTGGGATTCTCTGAAGGCCAGGTTGGACAGGAGCTCTGAAAAACCTGCTCTGGTGGAAGGTGTCCCTGCCCATGGCAGGGCGTGGGGCTCAGTGGCTTTTAAAGGTCCATTCCAACCCAAACCATTTGGGGATTCTATGATGATTCTCAAATGGCAGCCATGGAAAGGTGATGGGAGGGCAGGATATTTGGAAAGCTGCAGCTCCTGGTACTTTACCAGCTCAGAAGATTAATCACTATAGATTAGATCTTGTATCCCATCTCCACCACACACCAAGGCAAAGTACCACAGTAATGCTGTGGGGAGGAAGGAAAAACACCTGTGTTGTCTCCAGCAACCCCAGGTGGGAAGGTTCTCTTGGCTCCGTGACAGGAATGAGGAGGGGACTGGAGCATCTCTTGGGAGCAGGGAAGGCTGAGGAAGCTGGGGCTGTTCAGCCTCCAGAGCAGACCCTGAGAGGGGCCCTCCCCAGGGTGTGTCAGGGGCTGCAGGGAGGGGGCAGAGGATGGCCCAGGCTCTGCTCGGGGGGCCCAGCAATGGCCCAGGAGGAACAGGCAGGAACTGATGCCCAGGAAGTTCCACCTGGACAGGAGGAAGAACTTCTTTGCTGGGCAGTGACCCAGCCCTGAACAGGTTTTCCCAGAGTGGGTGTGGACTCTTCCTCACTGGAGATATTCCAGACCCCTCTGGACACAATCCTGTGCCATGTGCTCTGGGATGGCCCTGCTGGAGCAGGAAGATGGGACCAGCCACAGTGGTCCTTTCCAACCTGATCCATTCTGGGATCCTGGGATCCTATGACACGTCTACACCCCTTCAGTTTGGTTTCCTTGCCAGTCACAGAGTGAGTTCCCAGTTCCTTCCAGTGTCCCATACAGAGATCCCGTGGTGCTGCAGGTCACAGCTCTCCAAAAAGCACTAACATGTCCTTCCCAGGATTTGTGCCACTGGACATACTAGGAAAGCCCAGTGGGGAGGCAGTATCAGTGATCACCTTCCTACAGCAAGCATGAGTTTTGCTGGAAAACATATTCTTGCTGAAAAAATAAAGGAAAGGTCAAATAAAAATGTCCTGCCAAATGTAACAGCAATGCACTTACATGTCCAGGTAACTCAGCTGGAAAATGCAACAAATTTTTGAGACAAATGTTTTCCCTTTTATGGCAAGACAATATCTTTCTTGCAAAATTTATCTTTAGGATGCTTGAAAACACAGAGAAGTTATTTTACTTTGATGCAAGATTTGAGGGCTGCAAACACACTGGGAGCAGCCATGGGATTGCACAACAGGGATCTGGTGAAGCCAGAGCCAGAGGGGGAAAGCCGAAGTCACAAATTCAGAGCTTGAGCAGACACAGTTTAACTCAGGCCTGTTGAGCTCCCCCTGCTTTGTCAGGGGCTTTGATGCATTTCAAGTGGAAGCTGCAAAGCCAAGACTGAGCTCTCCTGTAGCTCAGGGGTGTCTGATTCCCATCGAGGGCTGACTCAGGAAGGACAATGTGGTGTAAAAGGTATTGCTTAAATCTGCATAAGTGTGAAGGGCAGAAAAGGTGGTACCTGATTGCCAAAGACAGAATCACAGAGTGCCCCAACCCCCACCCAAAAAATACCAAAACCAGATCAATGGAAACATCCTGGAACCTTCCCTTTTGGACATATCTCAGCCCCATCGTTAACATTTGCAGACAACACCTTCCCTCTCCAAAACCATGTGGTTTTCTGTGCCAGTCCACAGGTAGTTTAGGGAGTACAAATGGAAGAGCTGGTTGGTTCTTGCTCCTCTCCCCCACTCAGGCAAATCGGGCTCCGCTGTGGCAGCCAGAGCAGCAGAGCTGGAGAGGGAGGGATGCAACGAGGAGCCAGCTCTGGAGCATTCCTACAAGGACATCCTGGCCACTGGCACTGCCACCAGCAGTGCAGGGACTCTCCACGCCCTTCCCTGCCCAGCCCAGCACCTGAGCAACACAAACCAGGTGGAGATGGGCAGTAAGCTGCTGCTTCCAGCACCTTGTTGGTACCAAACAAGCCATTCCCCCCAGCAGTGCACCAGTGAGACTCTTCATCTCTGCACCATTCCCAGGCTCCTGGTAAAACATGACTCTTCCCCGGTGGAGTTGTCCAACAGGCTGACTGTCTGTGTTTGCGGGTGTGTGTCTGGCACAGCCAATGTCTGGCACAGAGAGGAGAAGGAAGTCTGTGCCAGTGACCAGGACACGTGTCCACACTGTCTACCAAACTCCAGTCCACACGTAAAGACTTTTATCCCAGGGAGGTCACCAAGATGGAAACTCACCTGGCTCCACAGCAGACATTTCCAACCCTCAGCTGTTCAAATAAGACCATACTCATGTCAGGGATGTACCTTCGTGCTGGAGGATGCAAGGCAAGCACTGCAGCTGTGATTTGAGTCCTCCAGACACTTCATAGACATCCGTTTCTGAGATATTTGTCTGGGTCTCCTTGGAGTCAACCCAGTCTATCCAGGCACTGGAGTTGGAGTCCAGTTCAGACCTTACACCACAGCACTCTGCCTCTGTTCTCACAGGGCCCTACAACCTCCAGATGTGCTCACATATCCTTAACTAGGAACAAATGCAATTAACTGACACATGGAATCACCCCGAGACCTGCAAACTTCCCAAGAACAAGGAACCTTGTGAATCCCACAGGATTCCTTGTGAATCCCACAGGAACCCTGAGATGAGTTTGGTTGGTCAGAGCATGGTGCTGATAATGCCATGGTTGTGAGTTCAGTCCCTGTATGGACAATTCAGTTAGAGTTGGACTTGGTGATCCTCATGTGTGCCTTCCAATTTGGAATATTCTGGGATTCTGTGATACTCTGTGAGCATCGAACCTTAGAAACCAAGTGGGTGACAAGAATCTCTTTAGGGATGTTCAGACTCTGCCTAACTCAGTGGGACAGTGCTGGCTCAGAAGAGGTGTTGCTGTTATATCAGCTGGGGGAATAACAACACTCACCCAGAGCCCTGGACTTTGCCTGGGAGTGGGATTCCAGCACCCACATCCCAGGAAAGTGCACTTGCCAACAAGTGCAGTGTGAGATGTGGTTCCTCTCCATTTCCATGCAGTGTCTGTGCTCCCATGCACCAAAGTTTCCCAAGTTCACAGCACAGAGAGAAGAAATAAGGAAGAGGGAACTGACTCTGAGGAGTCTGAGAGCCTGATACAACAACACTGAGATCATTCATTGCTTGAAAGCCACAGACAAAATCTTTCGAAATTCCTTTATACCAAAACACTGCCTGTCCACATACCATGAGAATTGCCAGGCACCCAACCTCCTGGAGAACACAGAGCACACAGGGCTGGAGTCTGTAGGCAAACAGCAAAGCAAGAGCTGTAGGGTGAAAGCTAAAGTCCCAAACTCAGACCTTGAGCAGACACAGTTTAACTCAGTGAGCTCTCCCCAGGTTTGATGCATCTTGAGCAGCAACTGCAAAGCCAAGACTCTGAGCTCTTCTGTAGCTCCAGGGGTTCAGGGGGTCTCTGATTGGCATTGAGGGCTGACAGGAAGGAAAATGTGGTATGAAAATATTGCTTGAGTGTGAAGGGGAGAAAAAGGTGACAAACATCCTCAAATTTTTACAAGAGGAGTGATGAATGACACAGCACAGGGGAGAGCTGAGAGAAACTCTAAAACTAGAGTAGAATTAGTGGGCAGAGGTTAAATACAGAACAGGGGAGAAGAGGCAACACAGCTTTGGAAAGTGGTCAGGCCTCTTAAACCTGCTGTGAAGGAGCCACTGAACAGACAGACCAAGGACAGGTCAAATTCTACCATCTTGTAAAGTGGACAGATTTCCAAAAGAGCTTGTGTATGAACACAGACAGACTGGATACCTCCCACAATTCCTACTAGGAGAAAAAGGAACACAAGGAGAACACAGGGCTTTGAAAGCAGGACTGGCCTGCGAGTAAAGATTATTCCAACCTCTAATATACAAGAACCAGGGGGAATTATGGTAACTTATGAACTGATAGACTAAAGCTAAATGAAATGGGACACAGAGGCTGCAGTTAGACTTGAAGCCCTTCTCAATGCAGGGCACAAGGAATAATAAGTATCCAGGTATTCATGCAAACCATGGAAGAAAAATTCATAAGGGACCATTAAACACAAAGATACTTTGACAGAGGAGACTCTTAAGGTGCAAACTGTCAGAAACTGGAGAGGATTTTGAGAGATCATCTCTATCTGCTGTTCTGGGCCTTTATGCTCTTGCCTTCACATTTCTTATTCCCAGTGCTGACTCAGGTGGTGAGGCCACATGAGCCCTTGGTCTGAGCCAGGACAGCTGTTCTACAATCCTGGGCAGAGATTATCTCAAGAATGGTCCACCAGTGGCCAGTGAGATTTGGGAGAAGGTGATTTTGCCATTCTCCAGGCCCTGAAGGATGTTGGGTGCTAATATTTGTGGAAAACCCAGAGACAGAATAACGACAGGCACCCTAAAAACCTTTGAAGAATTTGATGCCATTTTCAGAGCAATCTCAATAGTGCAGAGCAAACACAGCCTGGGACCACACACAGAGCAGAGATACCAAGTTTAATTCATCCCTTACACCATGCAAAGTGAAAGCTTCATGGAAAAAACACTTCCTAAAACTGAATCCAGCAACACTTTAAATTCTGACAGAGGTAAAGCACCATCCTACACAAAGAGCTGGTTGCACAGGCAAACTTACACACACAGTCACAGAATATTCTGAGTTGGAAGGGACCCACAAGGATCATCAAGTCCAACTCTTTAGTGAATGGCCCATTCAGGGATCAAACCTGCAACC